GCAGAGAGGATGGGGGATGATACGGCCAATATCCACAAGAGAAAATAGGGGGCGGGGGGGGGAGCAAAGAAGCTGTTTCCACTTTTGGCCACAACTTGCCATTGGGGCCTGAAGCCCCCAGCTAACCGCTTTACAGAGCGGCATTCTTGGCCGCTGCCTCCGCAGCCTCAAACCTTGCTTTCTCCCCCCCCCCCCCTTTCCTCTCCCCAGATAAACACTTGTCCATCCCTCCCTCCGCCTCCTTCCCACCTCTCCCCCCTCCTTTCCCAGCCGTTGAGGGATGGACGGCGGACAATGGTGGTATTGAGCTGCCCGCAGTGAATACTGGGCCTGTCCTCCCCCAGTGCCAGCGCCCGCAGCTGAGCCCCGAGCCCGGCAGCACCCGCTGCCCACCCGGGCACGCTCCCCCATCCCAGCACGGGAGAAGGGAGATTAAATTAACGGAGAGGAATCAGCCGTACGTTTTACTGCCGAGGCCGGCCTGCCGTTCTCCCAGCTCTGCTCTCCTCTGCCTGCGGGAGGGATGGGGGAAAGCTGCTCTTAGGGATGGAGGGGGAAGCAAAGAGCTTGGTTGGGGTGGCAGAGAAGCGGGTGTGAAAGATAAAGCTGAGGGAAGCTCTGCTGCGAGTTGCTGTCCTGCGTGGTCACAGCCCTGCTGCCCGAGTGTGCAGGATGGGAGAAAACGGGTCTTGGATGCTGCCTGCTTCGCCTAGAGCCTTACGGGGATACCCAGACTGGAGAGATGTACCAAATGGTTCCATGTCATACAAGTGGCCGCACGGGCTGGGATCAAAGGTCCCTCTAACCCTGGGTCCTGTCTCTGAGCACAGCCCCAAGCCAATGCCTAGGGAATTGCACAAGCACAAGGCAAGCGTGCAGCGGTACTGCCCTAGGGCACTTCTCTCATTTCCAGTGATTTGTGGCTAAGGCATGTCCCCAGCCAGTGGCAGTGTCTTTGTAGTTAATGGCCCTCGATTGATTTTCTTCTTCCAGGAATGTATGGAAAGGCCGTGCTGTCTATGAGTACTTAAACAATCCCTGCATGTGTTAAAGGCCCACAAATTAAGGGCTAAGGTCACGACACTACTGCTCCAGTGCCAGGCATGCAGCGGCAAAAGAGACGACTGCTTTGTATTCAAGCCAAGGAGTGAGCCCATTCAGACGTTTCCCCTGCAGGAGACTTGGGGAGGATGGCACCAGAGAGGGGGAGCAACGAGAAGGAGCTAAGGGGTTAATCCGCACACTGGATGTTCCCAAGCTGCTGCAGAGAGAGATTTCACCTGACAAGGGTATCGCTCTGAAGACGACCATGCTGCTGATGGACTAGTAGCCACTGCTCTAGGGCTGTGGAGAGCACAGGGGACAGAGAGATGCCCTCAGACTGCTGGCATGCCAGACGATGGGCATCACCAAGAGGAAACCTCTGCACTCTTGTGACAGAGTTCGAGTACAGCGAAAAGACCCGGTCCCATACGAAGTTACCGATGATAGAAACGCACCCCTCTCGCGAGTCAGAGTGTTGCATGGATCCTTTTTACAAGGGTCTCCCACATATGTTTCATCTACATTTAATAAGAGCTATTGTATGTTAATTAAATGCCAGTGGAGTAAGGAAAACATATTTGTCGAAGATTAACTATTATGCAATGCAAGAAGCATCTGCCACCCAACTGCTAGAGCTCACTAAATATTTCCTTATCTCAGAGTATTTACTTAGGAGGCAATAACTATCCAGTTAAATCTAAATTTAATGCTTAGTTAAATATAGTTCATGGAAAGTGGCACCAATATGTTTTACACAGAGAACGACAGAGGGGGGGTTCAGGGAGGGAGAAAGAAGGAATCCTGTCCCCAGACTCCGGTAACACCCCGACTCGAGGTGGGACCGCATGTGGCCGTGCCTCCCTACAAAGTGGGGCACATCACAGCGGACTTGGAGGCACCTCTCTGCTGAGATGGAAGCACAGGGGAAGCCTTCATCTTCTTCAGCATTTATACAACCCTCATTAGAACCACCATAGCATAGCTATTTAATAATAATAATCATAATAAACAGAGAGGCGAGGACAAAATTCCCTCGAGGGTCTTGTAAACCTGGGGAAAAAACAAAACAAAACCAAAACCTAAAGCTGATAGGTCTTATTTGCTTTTAGAAGCGTAGAGAAACAAAAGGAAGGGGTTGCCTGGGTATAAAAGGCCAAACAAGCAGGAATCACACAAATCCTAGGAGAGAACCTCCTGAGTAAAATAAATAATGTTATTTTTGTACGTGTTCCCAGAAGAAATAACTCTCTGGACCCATCTCCCCCTGCTGGAAGCAGATAACAAAACAGCAGGTCTGCTTTCTAACTTTCCTACCTTCTGAAAACTTAAGAATTCAGGTAAACAATCAGAGCACAGACACCACAAATCCATACTGCCATCTTTTAATGCCATTTACCAATACTCCTGGTAGGTGCAGGACTGGCAGGGCCAGCCTGACTGAGCAAATTTTGTCACTACGCGGTTCGGGAATGGATGGGGCAGCATGAGCCCAGCCCTACAGGTACCACATCACCCTCCTGCAATGCAAACCCCTTACACCCTGTTCAAAGGGAACGTGGCCTAGAGCAGCACCCTTTGATGAGCGCGGGCTGTACGGCACCACTAAAGACACGACAGAAACCCTTGGATGACAGGTTTAGGAAGGTGTCTGCGTTTCCACGCTATGGGTGTGGGATGGCTCTGCATGGAAGCTGGAGGGAAAACAGCAGCACAAGCGGACACAGCCTGGCTTAGCCTTACTCTCCCTGGCTTTGAGGGAAACGTGCTGGAGACATCACAGTCTGGGCATCTAAGCCAGCCGAAGGAGAAACCCTCCATGCTGGCCCTGGATAGGCAGCTTCTGCTGAGATATGCAGTGCCGAGATGCTCTGGGACTGGTACTCGGGTCACCTCTGCCTACACGTGTGGCAGCTCGGTTTTACAGATACTCAGGGACTGATGCTGTGAAAGCCTGAAGTGCCATCTGCTTTTCACGGAGAGCCAACAGACACTGAAAGCATGGACTCTGGCCACCAATAGGGATGGGGTTTTTTTTGCATTTGAGGTGGCTAAAAGCAAAGAGCAATCCATGGAAACTTCACGAAATGCCAACTGCAGCAGCCATCTGTATGATGTGGATGGCTGCCCTCTAGGAGCTAAAATGAGGCTCATCAGCTCACGCCACAAACAGCCACAAAATGGCAACTGTTGTCACTTGACTTTCATTCACTACCAACCATACCAGAACTGGTGACTTGTTCCCAAATATTGCTGGATTTGGGGAAAAGACATTTCTGAAAAAATACAAAAAGAGAACCGCTCACACAAGTCTCCAGACCCTTTCACGACCAACACGATTGTTTTAAGGGGAGTGCATAACTGCTCTGCCAGCAGAGTCCAAGCATCTAGGGACTTTATTTAGGGTATCTGCAATGATGAGTGAAAACGTATGATGTTTTGTGAGCTATAACGTGTTTAGTCAAGATACACTGCTGTCCTCAGCAGCAGAACCTGCTCAAAGCTTCTCAGCCATGCAAGGAAAATGCAATTTTGTTGCATTGGCAGAGGAGTTATGGAGAGGAACAGGGAAGAGCCAAAGGGGTTTCAGCACATGGGGAGGAAGATTAAGAGACCGTGGCAGGGAGTGATCTCACCTTCCTCTCTTCCTTCCTATACCTGCAGCTCCTACATGCACACATTTCTAGCCTGCTGTGTAAGGGCAGCATCCTGCTCCAATTTATTAAGCAGCTACGTTTCACTGTCCTTTGGTTCCTCAGATATAGGGAGCCACAGGAGTAGAAGAGGAGGAGGAAAGGCAGGGCGAGGAGAGAGGTGGAAAATCCTTTGAATGCAGCAGGTGCCTCTAGAGGCAGACTGAGGAGGAGGAGGCGGCCTTTCACTGGTAAATGCCCTTCTCCTCAGACTCCAAGAGAGTTCCCGTAGGTCACACTCTGCCCGCTCCTTCAGCTACACCTGCTGGATAAAGGGGCCTCCATCCATACCAGGCCAGAGTCTGCTGGAAAGGGCGGAGAAATAATTTCCATGAGTCGACTGAAAAGAAGAAAGTCTGCTAAGGACAGGATGCTGCCTACCAAACTTGATCCTGTGCCGACTGG